TGTGTGTATAATGTGTGTGTGTGTATGTGTGTATATGTGTGTATATGGTGTGTGTGTGTGTGTGTGTGTGTGTGTGTGTGTGTGTGTGTGTGTCTGTGTATGTGTGTGTGTGTGTATATGCTGTGTGTGTGTGTGTGTGTGTGTGTGTGTGTGTGTGTATATATATGATAATGTGTGTGTGTGTGTGTGTATATATATGTGTGTGTGTGTGTATATATACAGTGTGTATGTATATGTGTGATATATATATATATATATATATATATATATATATATATATATATATATATACAGTTATTGCCCATACTTGCCATTCAATTAGGCTTGGAGGGTCCTGCGTTAAGTGAAATCACGATTAAGTGAATAACAGGTCATATGTTAATTCCAACTAGGACCCAGCTGACCCCCAAGCTCCACTTTTTGGCGACAAATAACTATGTTGTAGTAAAATAGCATCTTAATTTTATGATGGTACATGCACACAATTATAATACTTAAGAGAAATGAAGAAATACAGTCGCCAAGTTAATGTCCATTCAAATAATGGACTCAACTCCTCCCCTCTTCTCACACTACACTCACTGGCTCTTCCTCTGAGAAATTTTTTTGGGAAAACCGGTATAGTAATAAATAATTCCTCAAACTAAAGTTAGGATAATATAATTGACATTGCTGGATTCCTTTGTAAGACCAGGAATATTTTGAATATAAATGTCATATATGGACAAAAGATAACATAATTACCTAGAGAACAATTTTTTCTAAAATTGTATTTTATCCAAAATATATGTTGTTTATATTCAAAATGTTAAATATAAAATTCCAGCAATGTAAATTATATTCTGACCGGGTAATTTGTATGAATTTTATGAATAAAACAAATATCTTCAGTTAATAAAAAAAATAATTCTTCACTGGGTAACAGATGGTCGAGTCGGTCGGTCCTCCTCCCCCCCCCCCACCCCCCACCCCCACCCCCACCCCCACCAACCGTCCCAGGAGATGTGTGGTATAACCACTAAATTTTAATAAATAATACCTCAAACTAAAGTTAGGATAATATAATTGACATTGCTGGATTCTTTGTAAGACCAGGAATATTTTGAATATAAATGTCATATTTTGGACAAAAGATAACATAATTACCAAGAGCAATTTTTATCTAAAAATTGTATGTTTAAAAAATATATTTGTTATATTCAAAATGATCGCAAATTATAGAGTTCCAGCAATATATTCTGGCTGGAGTAATTTGTATGAATTTTATGAGCTAAAACAGGCAGGGTGGCGGGTGGGGGTGCTGAATCTAAAATAGCTCTGGGCCGGACACTCACGCGTATATGATGAAAAATGCCGCGTTAAGTGAAAGTTCAGCTTTGGCAAGGCACGGCGTATGTGCGAAAACGCGTTAAGTGAAAGCGGTTAAGCAGAATGACTGTATATATATATTGATCAAATCACACAGGGAAAAGGAAACATTGGAGCACCTTAGCTTTCGTCTTTATTCAAGACATCTTCAGAGGCAACTGAATTACATGGACAAGAGAGGCTTAAATATACGGGTGACCTTATTAAACATGAGGTCAGGTCATAATCATGACATCCACTAATCCGCACACCACATGCATGAAGGGCTTAAGAGAAAGGGGCGACATGACTAGTCAAGTTAAGTCAGGTCAAAAATATGGGACCCACTAAATATTTATCCCATCTGGCTCCAAGGTTGTCCAAGCATTTTTAACCTTGGGCCACTGACAAATAAATTTATGTAACATATTATCAGTTTTGTACTGACCATCACTAAGGTTTATGGATTTAATTCCCTAATCAAACTAGCTTCAACCACAAGTCTTTCTGTGACACATGATGGTTGTAAACTTCTATTTCCCCAATCAATGGGATGACTTTTATTCTTAACATGACTGAACAGTGCACTGCTTAGATGCTGTTCTGACATTGTATACTGTTTGATTCTGAGTTGCAATGCTTTCCGTCAGTCTCTACATAATTCCCATTACATTTGCTACATGGAATACAATAAACACTTCCATTTACATTCAAAGTTGGGGCAATTCTTGATTGATACATTGGTAATGGTTGGATCATATTAAAACAACATTAATATTTAATAATTTAGGGACTGAACTAACGGGACAAATTCATTGCGATGGTACTTC